CAGGCAAGAAGAGTAGTAATATATTTTAAAAGGGACCCAAAGCACTTTAGTATCCCCATTTGTTTTCTAATAGAGTTGGATTCATGCTATAAGTTTAGTTTAGGTCATAGTCCCGTCCCTACACAAATCTTACTGGAAGGGATTTCATGGGGCCCCTGTTGAGGCCACTGTTATTCTAATATGGTTAAATGGTTGAACCAGATGATGTATATGCCCTTGTGGATGGGGGCTTGTAAATACAATGGCTTAAAAACCTCAACACTATCATCCTTCAAGAATGCACATGCCTACGGATTAGTTAGTGGTCTAAGTTCCAGCCTTCATATGCTAGAGAGAGGACCCCCATCTCCTATATTGGTTCTTGAAAGTAGTAGGTAAAAGCCATCACTAGATATTGGCCGGAACGTGACTTGTCCTTCAGGATGCACCTATAATCCAAGGTAAACTTATGGACTATTTACATCTTTCTCAAGAGAGACGTGTGGGTCATGGGTTGTCGTCTTAGGAGGGTAGGTCATGAATGCAAAACTTTCAAAACTCGCAACGGGAAATGATGTTTTTAGTCCCATAACATGCTTGCATTTTTTTCAATGATATTTATAATGAACTTTTAGAAGTTTCATGGAAAATAAATAGTTTTTGGGGGTTTGTTGTAGTATTGTAATTAATGAAAGTTTTAATTAACAGGGGAAATCTTTCTTGTGCACTGGAACGCACTATGAGAAAGAATAAGAGGCAGATATGTGAGAATGTATCTAGTAAAGTATATGCTTTGTGCATAGAAGCATACTAAGACATAGCATAGGAGATGCGGTCTACCTGAGTGCATCTAGAGTATATGAAGGGAAAGGTTTATTAGCAATAAAGACTATCATGGCGTAAATTATATGCTGAGCCCCTAGACTATAGGACTGTCTTAGTATTGAACAATATATTATGGGCTCAATACTTAAGTTTCTATCTCGCATGAATGTGCCTGGTTCGCTTGTTGGGTGTGTTTTTGAGTCGTGATGCAAGGGCAATCACACTCGAAAAGCTTCACAAGTGAACTCGAGAGTGATATTTAAAGATAGAAGTCGAGTAGAACTAAGTCATATACGCTTGACAGATGATCGCTCATGATACAAGACCATGATTTCATGATATATTTGCAAGATAGACTTCAAATATAATAACAGGGTGTAACAAAACATGGACTTTCCATACAAGACACTAATATTACACTAATATGCCTCGAGAGCCTTGACAACCATATACATCTCGATGATCAAATGATCATAAAAAATACCAGACCATTTCAATTTGACACCAAACTTTAGGAATCATATTCCCATGACCCCTATATATATGTCTACACAATATTAGAGGAGTTTGGATACAACTTGATATGTCTTAAGATCTATCATAAATCAAAGAGGGGTTTCGAGAATTGATTCAAAACTTTTGGAAAATCATATATGGGGACGTGGTAACCCTCTCCGTAAAGTCTCTGGTTGTTTGGAGATGATTTGACCCATCGTCTGTACATGTTGGCAGGCAAGACTTATATCTATCATCTGTCAGGCGCATATTTTGTAGCCAGATGACCTCCAGTCACTAAAATTGAGATTTCTTCCAATCTACAGCGCGTTCTCTCATAGAATTAGGCCATCGTATTTTTTACTCAAAGCCTTATCTACTATTGGAGGGTGGTATCCTATGGGTCCTCCATACGAAAGTGGTAAACTTTGCAACAATAACCATAAAGCTGTGCTAAAGCTTGACTGCCAGTCCTAAATATCTCCTAAGATATTGCGCATTCTACCACTAAATTGTGTGGAGATGTGCATCATCGGCTCCTCTTCAAGATTATCAAGCTCCCAAGGTCAATAATCCCTTGAGAACAAGGTAGTTATGTATGAATGCTCAGATCTACTGTCACCATTTATAGCAAAAATATCTCAAATTCGACAGTCCATATCTCTTTTGTTACTAATTTATTTAAAGTGAGACTTGGACCATTGGATTTATATTTGAGTTATCTATCACCATCAAAGTTTAGGCTAAATGATTCATCATCAAGGAGCAGTATCAGACGGGCTCAGACATGCTAGGACTATAAACTGTCTTGACCGACGATAGAGCCTCGATAACTACCTTCCCTCGATTTTATCCTACAATCTCATGGAAAATGTTGTTGGTTTCGAGATAAATTCAAAAATCAGGATGTTTTGAGTTCAAATCAGATGGAATCTTATTAACATCATTTAGAGATATTTTGGATTTAAATTACAAAAGAAGCTCATCTCATTGAACCACTCTGCATGAGAGAGTTGGTTCTAGCCAGCGATTTGGATAAGCACCATGGTTATCATTTCCTAATATCTACTTAAACCCCACTTGTCCAGTGGAGATGGGGACTGATCTAGACTCACTTGAAGTCTAGAGCTTGAGAAGTAGCAGAGCTCAGGTAGTACCCCAGCATATATCTAAGTATATAGGTATGATATGCCTCTTGGCACTGATATTTTCTGTATTTTATCTATGTTTCCTTTCTTAAAGATTTGTGTATGCTTCAAGGCCAAATCAAAGGTGTTCAGCCTCGTATAGAAGTCTGATGTAAATGGAACATGAATTGAGAGTTCCTAGGACACTTCAAGAACCCTAGTTATATGTTAAAAAACCTATTATTTCTAATACATGAGATTTAACTGGAGAATTTCCCCTGGTTCCTTGTCTATGTTTTGAAGTGACGATATCATAATCTTCCTTGACACATTTTTAAGCGACCATCGCCTTAAATGTATTTTTGAAGTGGGTTTAGTCTTTATCAAAAATAGATTAGAACATGGTTCTGTTGAAAAACCACATAAATAGTAGTTTGTTGGACAAAGTTACTGTTGATCAAATAGAGAAGACGACGCGGTTAAGAAAGGATATTAAATAGTTCAATTTTGTGTAGTTGATATGGGACAATTCTCATAGCTTAATTGTCGCATTGAATGAGCATGGGCCATCAATGAGAGGGATATGTGCTCGGCATTAAATTTTATGATAAAACAAAGTATTAAAAATAATAATTGATTAATAGGGCCCACCACCCCTATCTTCCATAAAAAAAAAATTGAAATTTTCTTACCAAAAAATCAAAATAAAGAGACTCATACTATTAGGCTATTATCTCATAAGATTATTTCATTATATGATTAATATTATGCTATTAGTTAATTAGAATTAAAAAAAAATAGTACTAGTTCATAGGATATTAATAAAAGCAAAAAATAATACTAATATTAATTTATTAAATATTTTAAAAAAATTAGTTTATGGGATATTTTAAGAGAGAAAAATAACAAAAACTTATAACCCTAAAAATTAATTTTTAAGTTACTTTATCATTTACCTCACATTGCAAGTATGAATTATTATTTTTTTTTAATTTTATTAAAATATAATTGTAAATTTATATTTTTAAATTCTATATTTCTATCCATAGTAGTTATTTTATATTAGATTTATTTATTTGTGAGGGTCATATCCATGTTTTCTGAATCACGTTTATTATAATATTGTAATTAATAATTATACTAATTACAATGATAACCAAGTCTTATATTTGATTTATTAATTTATTTACATTATAAATTATACAATGTATTATTTTTTGTTATAGTTTTAAATTAGATTTTTTTAAATTAGATGATATTATGAGACAAATTTCAATTTTATTCTTATTTGTATAGTAAAATGATGATAAAATCATAAAATACAAACCAATAATTATAATTTCAATGTATAATATTGTATTTAGTTATGTTTTAATAAATGTTTGATGAGAATCTTCATACATGGAAAGAATATCTCAATATTAGCATATTGATGAAAAAAATAAAAGTTATTACTGCAGTGGGCAATGATTTCATGCAACCAGCTGTATAGTAATATGATGCAACAACCTTAAAAAACCATCTTATGGCCATTTCCTTGATCCAAATTTTGCAATATACACTTTTTTCATTCTAATGAACAATCACAAAAAAGGAAAAATTTGAAAACACAACCTAGAAAGTATTTTTCAGCCCAATTAACATAGGCCGTTCATTTTGGTGACATGCTTAGATCTAGGCCTTAGAAGGATTTTTTTTTATTTCCAATTTTTCTGGATGGCTTTATTAGCATTAGATGAACAATGTTAAATAAGAAAAAAATGATTTTGAGTTTATAAATGCCAAGATCTTGAAATTCACAAAGTGAATAGTCTAGATTCGTATTTGGAGGCGACTCATTTTGATCATATCTAGGGTTCAAATTGAACAATTTTTTGTTTGGGATTGATTATTGAGATGAAAAGAGTGTGTGTCAAATTTGAGCCCATACAAATACCGCAAACATGATTTTTTAAAAGTGTCGTTGCATTATACTATGATACAACTGTTGCATTATATCATTGCTCTAATGTAGTACCTTCATTTTTTTTATTGGATTATTTAAAAACAACATTTATAATGATTTTTAATAATTTTTTGATTTTTTTTAAAAACAAGAAGTCGACCGATTCAGCCGATTCCCGATCTGAAATGCCGATTCACCGATCCAGATAGATTTTTGGGTTAAACCCCTGGCTGCAATCCCATATAAAATTATTTTGTTATTTATTTTTTAATTTATAATCCCATGTACTAGTTTTAAATTAATTGAATCTCTATGGCAAGTGAACCGAAATGAGCATAAAACATCCGGAGCTTCACCCTTCACTGCCAATTAAAACCCCAACACCTGAAAAAATAAGAATCACAACCGCCCCAAAAAATTAGGATAAAGAGAAAGAAAAGAAAATAAGTGAAAAATAAAAGTGCGGGAAAGGATTTGCTCAAACCTCAAAGTAGAGGGTGTTGTGGATCCAACGTGGATGCTTCATCCACCTCCTCTCGTCAAAATGATGGGGCCCACCCCCTACCCAAACCGGTAAACCAAATCCCATATATCCATACACAGCGGCGAATTGCAGAGAGAGAGAGAGAGAGCAGTTAGGAGAGAGAAACTGAGTCTCAAAGCGAACACGCAAGCTCTTTCTCTCTCTACATGCGATCCTGCAACTGCAAAATACTCAACCCATGTGAGAGAATAACTACAGTACACCAGGAAGGGGGAGAATAACGACCTCTCTTTCTCTCTTAACATGCAACCTTTGAACACCAAGCACCATCTCTCCTACCATGTTTACCACCATTGTTACCCTTCTCCCCTAAAAAAATGGAGCAAAAACCAGATCCAATTCAAATCTCGCCGGCATCATTTCATTCAAAGAAAACCCATTAGGTTTCAGCCGATTTTGAGCAGGAATACGGGAGAGAAAACGGAAGGAATACATGCTTTTGAAGATGAAAAGTATATTGTTAATGGAATTTGCAGGCGCCAAGCAATTCTCAAGCCATTGCTCGCTGTGGGTTTTTGTTTTTTGCACTCCAAAGTGAGAGCAGAGGAAGCCCCATTAACTGGTTCGGCTACAAAGCAGGAAAGCGATCGGAAGGAAGCTCCATTAACTGGCTCCACTGTAAAACCAGAGAGCAATAGAAAGGAAGAAACCTTAAATTCAAGGATATATGATGCCAATGTAATTGGGGAGCCTCTGGCTCTTGGTAAAGATAAGAGCAGGGTTTGGGATAAGTTGCTCAATTCTCGAATAGTTTATTTGGGGGAGGCCGAGCAAGTTCCTGTTCGAGATGATAAGGTACCTTCTCTCTCCTCTTTCCAATATGTGAAGTGGGATATTGGTTTTTGTTCTTTTGGTGGTTATTGTTTGTTATGATGATTATTATTATTTTTTGGCTTGGGTTTGTCGAGGTCTTGGAGATTATGAGAACTGTGGGAATTTGTTTTCAAATTCTAATATTTAGAAACGTGCTTTGATCATTTTCATGTTTTGTTTTTCTGTGTGGACTTGTATAATGAGAATTATGCTTGTTGAAACAATTGAATACTGTTTCGGGCTGAGGGTCAGTTAGTTTTGCTTATTTTGCATGATACTTTCATAATTTCAAATAATTGGAATTCAGATGGATGTTAAAACTGAGGAATTATGATATAAGCCAGTTTCATTATCACATAAATGAATAGGCATGACTTCAGCAATATGGGTTCTGTGTAGATTTTGGTGCTTCTAGGCATGAACGTTCTAGCATGATGCTTATTGGGAAATTCGTCTTTTTCTTTGTGGTGGTCTAAATGAACTTAAATTAGGTTTGTTGTTAAGCTATGCTCAAATTTCTCTGCTAGTTTTTATAGGTTGGTCACCCCAAAGGACAAATGGTCTGCCTTTTCTTCTATCTACGTGCTGGCAATTTGCCGCGCTTAAGGTCCTATTAACTGGACTAGAGATCATTTTGAGGCAAACATTCCAAATAGTGAAATTAAATTATGGCATTTCATGTGTATAGAAACCTCTTGTTGTGTCAATGAAGGTTTCCCATGATCCTTGTTTCCTATTCTGAGGGCTAAGCACAACAATAGGTAATAAAGGAGGTGTTTTAAGGTTCATGAGTGAGGTTTGCTACAATTCTGAGGAATGCATGTACATTTGCTACCTGCATGTGTTGATCCTTGTATTTCATGATCTTGGCAGGGCTATTTCTCTCTGTTTTGGTAATATGATCGCAAAACCTCATGAAATTTATTTCATATGCATTTGTGGCTTGATAATAGGTTATGAAATTCTCTATTGGTTGATTTCTAAACTTGGAGGTGGTCTGGCACACATATTATTTGCTTCAAACTCATATGTCCTTTCAAAAGAAAAAGAAAAGAAAAATCACAGATATTCCTTAAATGTCATCTGGATTGCTTGAAGGTTCTGAATGTTTCCTTATAGTTGGAACTGATGCATTAGATGTAAAAGTTTGCACATATGTAATTGCTTATGTAGATTGTCTTGTACGCTCTTTTCACATATATGCCATAAAATCGAGCACACCATATGTCTCATGGAGGAATTAATGGTGGCATATTTTGAATTTCTTCTTAGGATGACTATCTTGTAATACTGTGATTGCATATTGGACTCAGGATCTAGAATTGGAGATTGTAAAAAATCTCAGAAACAAATGCTTTGAGCAACAACGTCCTATTTCTCTGGCTCTAGAGGCTTTTCCATGTGACATACAAGAGCAGCTGAACCAATATATGAGTAAAAGGTTTGTCCATTTGAACCTTAATCTCTTGTTTGATTTGTAGAATTAACATTAATGACTTCAAATGGTGGTCACATAAGTCAAATATGCCTAAAAAATACGCAATACTTGGCTGTTGAACTATATGAGTCAATTCAAGTTAGTGAATGCCCTTAATTGATCAACTTGGAGAGATATGAATGGCTTCATATATAATATGTTAAGTCATATAGTTACTTCTTTCTGATTATTTAGAGCTATTCTCTACTATTGTTTATAGGATTGATGGTGAAACCTTGAAATCATTCGTTCCTCATTGGCCACCTGAGCGTTGGCCGGAATATGAACCACTTTTGCGGTATTGCTGTGACAATGGAGTACGCCTTGTTGCTTGTGGAACACCACTTGAGGTAATTCACAGTAACAAATTACATATTATATTGTACATATGGTTTACTATTTATTCTTATCCTTGTTTTACTCTCTTCCATTGTGATAGGTAGTTAAGTGGTTTTGTCTTCTGATATTTTGTGTGTAATCTCATCATGTGAAACTACATTTCTAATATTTCAAATTTACATATTTTGTGTATTCATACGTGTATATGCCATCACAAATA